CTGGGACAGTAGCACATGCACACAAAAATTGGAAGGAGAAAGTTCAGTTTTTCTGAACATAAGCTCTTTTCTTTCAATTTTTTTTAAATAAAAAAAATTTTAAGTAGGCTCCATACTCAGCACGAAGCACAACATGAGGTTTGAACTCATGACCCTGAGGTTAAGACCTGAGCCAAAATCAAGAGTTGGACACTTAAATGACTGAGCCACCCAGGTACCCCTGAACTATTAGTTCTACAATCAGAAAATCTAGAAGGAAGCTAGATTAATTTCAGGAAGCATGGGGTTTTTTGTCAGTTCTCAAAATAAAATTTTATTTTGGATTACTCATGAGTAGCGTAACACCAGTGTTATTTTTCTGGTAAATTTTGTTATTATGGAGAAGTTGAAACATATATGAAGTACACAGAATAGTATAATGACTCTGTATGTACCTGCCACGCAGCTGCTACCACCAAAGACATTGTCATTCTCATCACACTGCATCTATCCCTCTAATCCAGCAGCTCTCACCGGGAGTGGTTTGGCTACACCCTCACTCGTGCTCGGATGTTTGGCAATATCTGGAGACATCTTCCCTTGTCAAAATCGGGAGGGTGTTGCTGGCAGCTAGTGGGTAGTGGTGAGGGGTGCTGGTAAAAATCCCACAATGCACAGGACAGCCCCACAGTGAAAGGTTCCCTGGCCTGAAATGTCAACAGTGCAGAGGGTGGGAAACTCTGCTGTCACTGCTCTGTAGCCCTCAATTTTTTTGAGGTAAAATGTACATATACTGGAATGTATGATTCTGAATTGTATAATTCTGACAAATTCGTTTAGCCTTGTAATGCACACCCTCTCCTAAGTTTCTGTATAAAAACTTTATCAGATGCAACCATCTTCTTTTCCTACTTTGCTGAGGTGGTGGTGTTTTTTAAATCTATCGCTTACGGGTATTACATTGTTATTGATCCACTTGCTTTTTTTTAAAGGAGTGCTTAAAAACACCCTACCACACTTTGGAGATTTACTGAGAACTGTGCCCAAGAATAACCATCCTATTTTCTCATTTTTCCAACTGCCATTATGCACATACTACCTGATTCTCTTTTTCCTTTTCCTTGGTCTTTGGGCTTAAAAGAAAAAAATCTAAATTTTGCTTTAAATATTTTTTCCAGATGGTTTTGAATTATGTGAATTTTTAAAAAGTCAATATGGTCAAAATGTAGTGTGTGTGTGTATATATATATATATATACATATGATGGAATATTATTCAGCTGTAAGAAGGAAGGAAATTTTGAAACATGGATAAACCCTGAAGACATGCTAAGTGAAATAAGCCAGACACAAAAGGACAGGTATTGTATGATTCTACTTAGATGAGGTATGTAGAGCAGCCATATTCGCAGGGACAGGAAGCAGAATGGTGGCTGTCAGGACGGAAGTTACTGTTTAATGGGAATGAAGTTTCAGTTTAAGAAGATGACAAAGTGTGGAGGTGGATGGTTGCACAACAGTAGTACTTAATACTAGTGCACACTTAAAAATGGTTAAAATGATCAACTTTATGTTATGTGTTTTACCACAATAAAAACAAGGTCAATATGTATATAAAGATAATATAAAGGAAAAGAAAATAACTTCACAGGCGATACACTGCTCAAAACATTTCAAACTCCGTAATATGATAGGTCTAGAAGGCGCGTGTGAGAGTCTGATTCAGTGCTCTTATTTAAACATGAGAAAACTGAGCCTAGAGCGGGGAAGCAATGGCTCGTGATCACAGGGACCATTAACAGCAGAGTAAGGACTGGACCTTAAGTCTCAGGGTCCTTTTTCCCATACCAAATTGTGGGCTTCCTCTATGGTAAGTTTGTGCAAATGGATTCTTTTTCTATTGACTGCTCAGTCACAGATACCATCGCCGTAAGACTAATTAATGACCCTGCAAATCCCATAAGATTCTCTGAAAGATCACTATCTAGGAAGAAGCATTACAAATATTGGCATGGTTCAGTTCCATGTGCCCTTGCAATTGCTCAAGAGGACTCTGGGGTCCACAGATAAATAATTCACTTTATGTAGTAATCAGGAAGAGAATAAAGAACAGGAAAATGTCTCCTTTCCTATTTTCGGCACAAGTATTGAAGATAATCTAAATTTAGGATCTAGTGCCTTTGTGGCAAAGCAAGGGTAGCTGAGATTAGGCTAAATTTTAGCTTTCAATTCCACAGCTTTTGTGAAAGCTTGGATTAGAACTGCTACGAGACCTGAGTCAGAATCTGTTGCAGTCTTTGTTAACTACCTGATTCTTATGGTTCTGCTGCCCGAGTAAACCACGCCTCCAGCTATAGGACTGCTTATTTCCCAGCCCAGATTCTCGGGGCAAGCGTGTACCTGGCTACACCTGAACTTCATGTGGGAATCCATCAGGGGTCACCTTGCCCTTCAGTTCTCAGCCGTGCCCTCTTCCGGGCTGGGCTCCCTTATCACCCACTCCCATTTGCCTTGTGAACAAAGTAAAATCCCAGCTTCACAGATGGTTTTCTCATCCACATCTCAAAGCAGAAGTTAATACTGGCCAAACTGCTATTTTTCGGAAGATATGGGCTTCGACTCCAAGCTGATTATTTTAACATTCTTTTGAAGAAGAGAAAATTTGAGGAACATAGATATGATATTGGATTTATGTGACAATATGAAAATATCATGGTTATCAGACACTAAATCAGCTAGTATGGCCCAGGCAAAGCTGCAAACTCATGAAAACACGTTCCCAACGAGCCAACTTTATGTTCCAGTGGCTTCATCAAGTCTAGAGAGAATGTTAGTAACTCATAACACTAAAGCTTCTCTTAGATACACAGATCATTAATCCACATCCTCTCTGATTATACACAACAGTGAGGTGGACAGAATGAATTCCCAGTGAACAGGTACTGATGAAACTGGAGACATGCTGAGGCATTATTCTGCTGTCTCCAATGGAGAGAATTAGTTCTATGCTTATGACCTTGAAGAGTCGAGAATTTCAAAACACTGAAACTCTACAGTCAGTGTCTGTCTGAATCCATGCAACCTCCCAGGAAGCTTTCTGAGACAATACTTTTGACTCTGGCTTTTAAAGCTGGTCAGCCAGATAGCCTGCAGCAAGTAGCAAGCAGATGTCATTACCAGGTGAGGCGGGTACTGAAAGCAGAAACAAAGGCACATTCTTGGTCTGAGAAAGCGAAAATTAGGAAGAGCTGGAATCTGCTAGGGGCTTACATGTGCCTGTATCAAGCACTTGATGTGCACGGTCTTGTTCAATCCTCACAACTGCCCTGTAAGGTGGGACCACGTCATCCCCATTTTCCAGATGAGGACACGAACGTGCTGGGAGGTTTGTCGAAGGACAAGCAGTTGCTGTGTTGCAGAGAGAGGATTCAGCTGTAGACCTTCTTGATTCTGCACCCCAGGATCTTCATGCTCACACCATACTGCTTTTTCATAAGCTAGAAAGGTGATGGCCTTACAAAAAGAGTATAAAAACTTTTTGTGTAAGTACAAAAGGAGTATAAAAAGAGTATAAAAAAAAGAGTGCACATATCAGATTCAAGAGATTCCTCATGTTCACAGCTATTACATCTCCGGCTTTGATACTTCACGAGAGATCCATGATGCACCAGGGCACATGCCAGCTTGCTGTCTTCCAGGGACATGACTCGGGTCGGCAATGCTGAGGGCCCGGGGTGAGGGCAAGTCACTGAGCTGGGAAACAGCTGAGCCTCTACCAAGTCAACTAACTTGGTGGAAGAGCAGGACTTACGGAAATGTCTTGAATTATATAATCTTACTTAAAAATGTTGTTGGGAGTTCTTTCAAATATAAAACGTAACTGAAACAGGTTAAATGTTGCTACACAGAAGTCTAGAGAGGATTTATTTTAATGAATATATGAGAATCATTTATGATCAGTACATGAATAGCTTGTATCTGAATAGGTGTTTGTCAAGAATTAGGGGCTGAATTATTGTTTTTGTTTCTAAAGTAGCTTACACTGTTCTCCAAATTCAAGCTGCTCAAATTTCAGACAGTCTGGACAGGTGGTGGCTGAAAAGAGGTGACTCCGCTGCAGCATGTAACTCAACTCATCAGTGCTGAGGTGACACAACCGGTGAGGAGATGTCTTGAGGCACAGAATTCAAGTGAACAGAGTGGGGTTAATCAAGGAAGGCTCCTTGGTGAGGTGAACAGCGTCTCAGTACCAAAAGCAGAAGCCTTTCTTTGCTTGCTCCTCTGAAGTGGTGTCTGCCCAACCATTACAGGATCCAAAATAATCAGAGCGTTTGAGGCTCTCTCTGCCTGGACCTTCCACTCCTACTTCTTCTCAAGCACCAGCTCTCGGAGGAACCTTTGCGGGGTGTCCAATCTAAAGCCATTACTCTCTCATGCTCCTAAGATATTCTTTCACAGAACCTAGTTTTATACCCTTTAGCATGCTCAAGGTAAAATTATCTTCTCATTTATTTGTTAACTTGCATCTTATCTGTCTCTTTTTACTAGGCTGTGAGCACCACGAAGGAAAGAACTTTTCTGTTTTGTTCACTGCAGTACGCCTGTGCCTAGCACAACGCCCAGGTATGTAGTAGGTGCTCAACAAAAATGTTTTTTTTTTTTTTTTAAGATTTTATTTATTTATTTGACAGAGAGAGAGACAGCGAGAGAGGGAACACAAGCAGGGGGAGTGGGAGAGGGAGAAGCAGGCTTCCCGCGGAGCAGGGAGCCCGATGCGGGGATCGATCCCAGGACCCTGGGATCATGACCTGAGCCAAAGGCAGACGCTTAACGACTGAGCCACCCAGGTGCCCCAAAAATGGTTTAAATAAGTGGATGAATTAGGCTGCCAGGTCATCCTTCTGTCCCCAAACAGGGGAAATCAGCAATTTTATTTCTCCAGAGTAAATCCCTACTAGAAAGATTTGTGTTTGACCTACAACAAAAGCCATAAGAAAAAGGCTCTATAACGATTCTTCTCACCTGTTCTGCTCCCACCATGCTAATTGGCTTGCACTTGAAGAGGTGGGTGATGAACTTGGGAATGAAGGAGCTGTGAATAAAAAAAAAAAGGGACAAATTAGGCTTATTTTCTCTCTTTTTTAAGATTTTACTTATTTTAGAGAAAGCATGCGCAAGTGAGGGTGAGGAGAAGAAGGAGAGGGACAAGCAGCCTCCATGCTGAGCACAGAGCTTGATGCGGGGCTTGATCTCATGACCCTGAGCGCATGACCTGAGCCGAAATCAAGAGTCAGATGCTTAACAGACTGAGCCACCCAGGTGCCCCAGGCCTATTCTCTTTTTGGTAAAGAACTGCAGAAACTTTTTTTTTTTTAAGATTTATTTATTCATGAGAGAGAGAGTGAGAGAGAGGCAGAGGGAGCCCGATGTGGGGCTCGATCCCAGGACTGCAGAATCATGACCTGAGCCGAAGGCAGACACTTAACCAACTGAGCCACCCAGGTGCCCCAGAAACTTTTTTAAAGGCCCTACTTCCTTCTACAAGAAAACAGAAATCAAAGTAGATGCTACTGTGGCCTCCCAGCATTCACCACTGCCTTCTGTTTCTTTCCAGCCCAAACCCAGGTTTTATTTAGATATATGTGGTTTTAGAATGCTGGGGAAAAGCTGATCCCTCCTAAACTGCAGAGGTGAATTCTAATTAGCCTCAACCAGTCAGAACATGGCATTCCCTTGTTAACTGTTGCTGATCCTGAGGTGGGGACATGATCTAAGCCAGCCAATCAGACCAGAGGAATGGACTTCATTGCATGGCTGGGGGAAGTCTTTCTCTCCTTCTTCAGGGTATTCTTATGTTTGGACAGAACACCTAGAGCCATTTTGCCACCATTCTAAGGATGAAGCCAGACCCAAGGAGAGCAGGGGAAAGTAAGGAACTTGGGTCCTTAGTGACATTGCTGAACCACTGAATCAACCATCTTTGGATGTGTCCTACCTCTGACCTTCTGGTTATATGAAATACAAAGTTCATCTTATGTTTAAGTGAGTTTAAGTCACGGCTTCTATTACTAGCAGCTGAAAACACCCTAACAGACAAGATAGTGAGATAGTTATAGGGTGTTAAATGCAAAGATAGAAAATAATTGCAAAGGGAGTAACTCTCAGAACAAGGGAAAAAATATATGATCTCTGAAAAATTTACTGGGGACTGAAGGGCAAGCTGGTTTGGGGAAAGGAAGAAGGAATTTTAATAGGGCAGGAGGGCTTTTTAGAAAAAACTGCAGGGCTTGAGTAGGGAAAGCTGTTATACAGGTGCAGAATGGAAGGTGTGGGGATGAGAAATGCCTATAACCAAGGCCAGACCCAGGGTGGACTGACCAGGAGAACATAGGGCCCATGACCAAGGAAGGAGCGATAATAAAACAGGGTGTGGAGGTCAAGGAAAAGGCTGGCTAGCTCCCTCCTCTCCCACTCTGCAAAAGCTGCTCTCAGGGCCATGACTCCCCCTCTCCGATCTCTCTACACATCTGTGCCTGCTCAAAAACCCAACGGACTACTGGCCACCTCACTGGAATGGCACTGGCACCTCAATTCCAGCATACCCAGGACTCAGCCCCACCCTGGAACCCAGGCCCAGTGGACCCGAGCTCATCTACCCAGTCATCCAAGCCAGAAACCATGAGTTCCTCGAGACTGCTCCCTCAGCCGTCCACCCCAATATCACTCAGTTCTCAGCCCTTCACCTGCACTCCCTTCCTCGGTCTCCTGACCATGCCTACCACTGCTGCCCTTACCCTTCTCACTTGAGCTCTTTCAATTCTTTCCTAACTGGTCTTGTAGCCTTCAGCCTCATCTTTGCTAACCATCAGCTGCTGAAGGGATTTGTTGCAGATGCAAACATGCCCAAGACCCTTCCCTGATTAAAATTCTTGTAATGGCTGCAGACAAGGCCTTCCCTGAGTGTCTTGATTCTGTCCCTAGCCTTATCGTGCTGAGCTGTGGCACCCTATGCTTGATTCTGCAGGCTACTTAATGCCTCTGTGCCTTTGCTTACACTGCTCTGTGCCCAGAATGCCCTTCCCTGTGGCCTTGTGGGTCAGTACACACACATCTCTTGCACCCTGCTCAAGGATCTCTCTCATTTTTTTTTTTTTAAGATCTTATTTATTTGAGAGAGAGAGAATGAGAGAGAGAGAGCACATGAGAGGGGGGAGGGTCAGAGGGAGAAGCAGACTCCCTGCCGAGCAGGCAGCCCGATGTGGGACTTGATCCCAGGATTCCAGGATCATGACCTGAGCCGAAGGCAGTCACTTAACCAACTGAGCCACCCAGGCGCCCGGATCTCTCTCCTTATGAAGCCTTTCCTCATTCACCTGCACCATACTCTACGTAGAGCCCACAGACCTCTAGCCTAGCATATAACCCTCTTTACTATACTTATTTGCTTACATGTTTATTTCCTTCTACCTGACTGTAAGGCAAATGAAAACAGGGACCATATCTACTAAGCCAAAGCACTTAATTCTGTGTCTGGGACACAGCAGGTACTCAAATGGCTGCATGCTGAGTAAATAATAAATAATAACAAATTAAAATGGTAGCAGCTACCACTTTTTGAATGTCAGCCTGGTACCAGCACTTTACCAGAAGTTTACACATTTTATCCTCTAAACCACTATTAAGAGATTTGTCTTATTGTCCCTGTTATTGAATGGAAGAGAACCAGCTTAGTGGATGAGGGAAGCTGCTTATGGTTCAAATAGTAGTCTTTTCATTTTTTAAGATTTACTTATTTATTTGAGAGGGGGGAGGGGCAGAGGAAGTGGCTCAATCACACAACCCTGAGATCATGACCTGAGTTGCAACCAAGAGTTGGATGCTCAACTGACTAAGCGTCCCTCAAATAGCAGTTTTAATTGAGGGGTGATCTGGATGTCTAAAGAGGAAAGACTGCTGTTGCTTCAGAGACCAAATGGAGGCAAAAGGAAACATGTATGGCTTTGCACTGATGAAATAAGAAAGGAAGTTAAAGAGAAAGGAACATAAACTCCAGAGATCAGATCTAGGGGGAGGTTTGCTGATCAGGAGGGAGAAGAGGGACCATGCAGAAGGGATTCTTCAGGGCTCGAAACCAGAGCCAGGCCAAACAAGTGACGTGAGACTGAATTCATGACTAATTGCAATGGTACACACAGTGTATAACCTACGTTACTTCTCTCTAGAGTAGGCTTCGGTTGTACCCTGGAATCGGCTCTATGTGCTAGTCTGCAAGAGTGGGTGAGGAAAATATAGGGACGAGAAACATGTCACGGGGAGGGCGAGGGGAGAAGTCCTGGCAATGTGATGGGGAGCTCATGGGGAGCGGCCAGGGCTGCCCCAGCCACGTGGGGTGGTGGTGGCTCTTGCTCTTGCCGGGGAAGGATCCTCCTACAGCGCTACCTCTGAGATTTCTACTCTTGGCTGGGATTTTACAAGGAGGAGAGGGTACCATGGATTAGATCAGAAAACCACTTTTTCTATCGGCAGTTAAACTTTTCCAGATGTGAGAGATGGGCATCCTATTCCTAGCTCATCCAAAATGAGCTTAGTAATAAAATTAAAGGGCTCCGAGAGAATGTGAGGCTGATGCCGGGACTAGCTAAGCAAATGGACCCTTTACTCACTTTAATGTTAGCTCAGTCAGACCCCTGTGCAACCACACCAGAGATTTTTGGCCATAGTAAAATTTTACAGAGACATTGTTTCTACCGAGGGTATGGGAGTGTCACAATGTGATTTATCAGCAACGCCTTTAACACACACCGATGAGCACTCGGAGAGGGAAGGGAACGTCAACTCCCGGTTCATCTGCCATATTGCAAACATTAACGCCTCCCTGGAGAGTCCACTCGATCCTTTTTTGACAAACTAGAAACTGAAGCTAATGCCACAAGCCCCTCCGTTAATTGTTGTTCCTTAGGGATTTATTTATGAGGGAGAGAGAGAGCCTTAATTGAATACAAACCGGGAGAGATTTGGGGAAGACAGAAACTTGGAGCCCTAAATCCCCCCTTGGGACTTGGATGAGACAACCTAAATACAGTAGCTTGGAAGAGGCTGACCTTCCTGAAGCCCTTCCTTGAGCTGTGTGTGCCAAAACGCTTGTTTGCTCGTTGGTCAGAGGAGGCACTGACCCTCTACATTGCCTGGCCTCAGGGGAAACGGTGCTACAGCCAGATGCTGACTGGCAAAGGACCAAACCATTTATTTCCCTACTTCCAAATGTCAACCAGAAATGGCCACACACGAGGACGTAGCAGGAAGACATGCAATGCAAGAGTTCACTTCATGTCCTTTGGCAATGGGACCCCCGGACTTGCTCTGACCAGTTTCTAAGTTTCTAGTACCTTCCCTGGACTCAAGGATGTCCAGAGGCAGATAAATTCTGGCAGCCCCAGTAATGAGTACTATGGGGAAGGAGAAAGAGAAGGCTTAAAAGAAACAGAAATGAGGGTTCTTACCCTAAAAAAGCATGTAATGTAGTTGTTGGAGAGACAAAATATATACATGAAATCACTGAAAAATAATTTTAATTATCCAAACCTGTGGGGAGGCAGGGGCACTGTTATGTTCACATAATTCAAAGAAACAGTTTTCCCAACTCATTTCTGAGTTTGTCTTCATGCTGTTACTGATGCTTGTGACTCTAAGTAGTGGATTTAGTTTTATTATGCTTCTTTGGGGTAGAAAAAAATTAGTTCACCTACAGGCACCAGAATAAGCCCCAGCTGGATAGTGGGACACCTGGATTGTGAGCATGCTGGTGGTAAGTATGGCATTCAAAATAACCAAGTGATGAGAATGTTCCAGGGACACCTGGAACCGGGGGGGAGGGCTCAATCAGTTAAACATCCGACTCTTGATCTTAGCTCAGGTCTTGATCTCAGGGTTGTGAGTTCAAGCCCCGTGCTGGGCTCCAGGTTGGTCGTGGAACCTACTTAAAAAACAAAAAAACAAAAAAAAAGGAAGGAAGAAGGGAGAAAGAGGAGGAGGAAGGAGGAGGAAGGAGGAGGAGGGAGGAGGAAGGAGGGAGGAGGAGGAGGGGGAAGAAGAAGAAGAAGAAGAAGAAGAAGAAGAAGAAGAAGAAGAAGAAAAAGAAGAATGTTCCAGGACTTACTTTGCAAATTTAATGCAGAACTGAGTGAAGTATTTCCGCGTGGAAGCCAGGTTGTCACGGATAATAGGGACATTCTGCTTAATGTGAAGAATGACAGAGGTGACATAAGGGCTCTGGTCACCAACGTGCTCCACATTCTGCCACTGCATCTGAAAATGGAGACAGGGGAAGAGAAGCCTTTAGATCCCTCACAGGAGGACAGTCTGACCGGTTCCCGGGTAAGGGGCAGGTGGAGCGGCAATGAGACTAGAGCTTGCTCTCACGGCCGCCATTTTCTCTTGGGCAGTGTGTCTTATCCAGTGTGTCGTGGCTGACTGTGGATAAAAACAAGTAAGCCCACCTTATCCTGGCCAGTGAGGTGTGACTTAGGTATCTTTTCCTAACTTGCTCCCTCATGCTTGAAATAGCCTTTCCTTTCCCATCTAAGTGGCCATCTTGTAAAGGAACCCTCACCAGGCCGGTGAACTGGACTGTCCTGCAGCTGTTCCACCAGAAGGACAGGGCAGGGGCAGCCACTTGTGAGCAGGCTGGTAGCTTGGGAGATTGGAGGTGGTTGGGGCTAAGTGAAATGAAACCTGGATGACAGTTACTTAGGTCTTTCTCTTAAGTGAATTGCGAAGAGGGGAGGATTTTGAAAAACGGGAACTGGACATGATGTGACGCGTGAGACTTACTTCAAAATAATCTAGAGTTAGGAGGAGCAGATGAAAGAAGATTAATGAAGCTGGGTGATGGGTCCATGAGGTTTGTTATACTGTTTTCTCTACCTTTGCACACAGTTGAAATTTTCCATAATAAAACATTCAAACCTTACTCCTAAAACCTTTGAGATTCTGTTGGGGTTTCCATCAAGGGAAAGAAAACCAGATCCCTGGCAATTACAGGGGGTGGACCAGGGGTAAGACAGCAGCACGAGGATGAGGGCAGGAAAGAAGGGCGGGGGCTGCGTGTACGGCAGGCGCGGGGCAGACCAGCACCACCGACGGGACCCGAGTGGTCCCTGACCAGGCCATGGACACAAATGAGACACCTGCTTGGCTCAAGCTCTAACCATCAGAGAAATGGGAGAAATGCTCTGGAAAACGTCTATAGTAAAACAGGGAAAGAAGCAATGCTGCAGTGCTTCTCCTGCCTCGGATACATAAGGAAAAGAGAGGCAGCGTCAGCTCCCAGCCTGCCCGGAAGCTGGCAGCAAATGGGCACTTTAAAGATTTTTATTTATTTATTGAGAGAGAGAGAGAATGGTAGAGAGAGAGCATGAGAGGGAGGAAGGTCAGAGGGAGAAGCAGACTCCCTGCTGAGCAGGGAGCCCGATGCGGGACTCGATCCCGGGACTCCAGGATCATGACCTGAGCCGAAGGCAGTCGCTTAACCAACTGAGCCACCCAGGCACCCGCAAATGGGCACTTTAATCCCCAAAAGATCAGGAATGTGCCAGAGGAGTTCTGTTGAGTCAGCCTCTCAGACTGGAGCTGGACTGTCTGTTAAAAAGATGTGAAGCCAAACACAAACCATATAATATGTTCATAGAAGGAGGGCAGTAGTTCTGAGGCCTTGATGTCTCTGGCAAGAAAACACCATTTTTTTATAGAGCTCTTGGGGAAAGGAAAAATTCAATACTGGAGGAACTTGTTTAAAAGAATCATATTGTGCATGGATGACTCCCCAGTGCCTGCGAAGCTTGAGTGACTCTATATTTTGTCCTAATGTTTTGTCAAATCAGCAGATATTTATATTTTAAAAGCTTAGGTATGTGTAAGCATATAAAAAAGCAGGAAGGGACTTCCACCTTCATTTTAGAGACAAGAAAACCAAGGCCCAGAGACGGTTAAGTCTTATGCAAGGTTCCACAACAAAGTGTCAGATAGAAAAAGGTCTCTAAGTTTTTTACTGGGGAGAATCAGAAACAATGGAGTAACAGTGGAAAGTTCTATTGACTTCATATTCTAATGCTTTGGTTATGTGTAATGTTTTCCTCATTATCTTTTTATCTTATTCAAAAGGCTTCTTTTCCCATCTGATTTTAGAGAGTTGACCCATCCAAACAGTGAGCATCCTAGGTGAGCTTAAATGAGCTCATAGGGTGAGGCCCAAACTGACAGATGCTGTTAATGTCTACACTTCATCGTCTTCTCCCCAGCTCCGCAGCAACCCTTGGAGCAGAATGCTCTGGGTAAACATCGTATTCTGGGAAGGGAGCTTGATGCCCCCTTCCTCCCATTGCCATGAAGCTCTTCCACAGTAATGGCTATTGTTTTCCAAGTTGGCAGCATTTTATATTTCAACATCTCAAAAAGTTAACAAATAATTATCTAACAGAAGACAACCATAAAAGGAGGTGGTGATGTGCCCTGTTACTGGCTACAAAGCAACTCTGAAGCAAGATGGATCGTGGGACTTCAAGTTCCCACTGGTGAGCTAACCCCTCTTGATCACCACTGGTCATGTCAGTACACATCCACATTTGGAATATATGTGAAAAGATCTGATTTGCTTTAATACGTTAGCCAGTTATGACTCCACTGGTCAAGTTAAAAGAAGTATTAGCAAAAGTAAAGTAGATTTGTGATTTTAAGTTTAAGTCAGCTTAATGACATAAGGAAACAATTTAAAGTAACTGGAGAACAATGAAAGTTGACACTGATTTTACTATTTAAAAAAAAAAAAATTTGCAAAATGTAATTAGCAGTGACTCTGTCCAGTCACTGCTTCAGATGGGTGGATGCTTGCCGTCACCCATCCCAGATGACTTAAGGTTTGAGCTGTAACCTGAATGGCCCAAGACACGGACATTAGGACCCACCATATGCAGGTCCCTTTACCTGGCACTTTGCATACATCATCTCATTTACTTTTCACACGTGAGCTCATTGGGTTCTCACAGCAATCTTGTAGATGAGGAAAGTAAAAAAGCTTAACGAGGTTAGGTAACTTGCCCAAAGTTCCACAGCTGGTAAATGAAAGAGTGGAGACAACCCAAGTCTGTCTAAAGCCTGAGCACTACAGCACCAGGCTGTTTCCTAGATGCTTGTTTAAAAAAAAAAAAGGAACCAAAGCACTTACTGTGTCTTAATCCAAGGTAAGTCTTGTTTCTCAGGTAGAAGCTAATGAAATATACAGTGATCAAGCAAATTCTCTTTCAAAAAAGGTAACAAAAAGTAGCCTGCTCTATAGGAACAAACATCATGAAAAGCCATCAGTAGGAATAAAATTCCAGCTTTTCCAGGTAAACTTTGCATTTGACATTTAAAATTCACCCCTCTCTACTTAAAAGTTTTCCTTTTGTGCTTTTTGTTTAGGTGGGACTGCATACGATCGTTCCTATATAAACAACAAGAAAAAACATTTGCAAAAGAAGCTGTAATTAAGATAGGATTCACAGAAACAGCACACCAGGAAATGATCACACTTAGCTACAAGAGAGACTGTGGGGTCAGGGGCACAGCCCAGGTTTCTGCTACCTGAGGACCAAGAGTGTGACTGATGTTACCACTTCACAGGGAAGACTGGGGAGATAATCACTTCCTAGAGAGAGCCCACTGTAGCAGAGAATTCTGACCAATCCACCAATCAGAGAATAGAGCTCACGACGAGCTTACTTTGGAACTTGTTTGTTGCTATATGAAGCTTGGAGAGAGGCCTCCTGAGAAATGAATTTTCCTCAAATTCCTACTTACTCATTTTGATCATGGAACTAGAGAGATACAGAACACAGACTGAGACATGTGGATTCTGGGAATATTTCAGGCACTCGGATTCTACTGTTCCGGTTTAGGCTGCTGGGCCACCGGGCCCAAGCAACAGCCCATTTGCTCAGGCAACTCTCAGGCACTCTGAAGCCTGTCTGGGCTACTTTTACTCATACAAGCATCTGCTATATTTATAGGTACCTCGTGCGTGCACAGCACTGGACCAAGCACTGTGTGGGAAATAAAAAGGGAGAAGGAACATTTTTTGAGCACCTACTCTATGTACCAAGCATCATGTGGTCAACATTTTCACATGAACTTACTGCCTACAATAAAGGAGGTAATAATACTCCTGCTTTATAGATAAGACAGTGATTTGCTTAATGAAGCGTAACTGATAAGTTAGCAGGGCGGAGATCTAGAAATTGGTATGTCTAACTCCAAAGTCCATGTTCTTTCCACTTTACCCTGTTGCTTTCCAAAAGTGTTACCACCCTAAATGAACTTGAAATTAGCTGAAGGCATTGGAGCAAGCAAAATCTACTTAGGAGGCTGTATATATGCAGCTGATGTGGTCATGGCAGTAAGAGGAGGAAGATGCATGTTGCTTAAACTCCAAGGTCCCCCAAGATCCAGAATAGAAAGTGGAGTAATAAAGGCTTTAAGAAGATAAATACATATTTTTTTCTACTCACTACTAGGCCAATGGGAAGGTAAATTTGTACAACCTTTTCTCTTCTTTTTTCAAGACTTATTTATTTAAGAGAGAGTGAGTGAGCGGGGGGGGGGGGGGAAGGGGGGATGGGGGAGGGGGAGAGGGGAAGCAGACTCTCCGCTGAGCTCCCTGCAAGGGCTTGATCTCCCAAGAGGGAGATCAGAGCTGAAACTAAGAGTCGGACGCTTAACCGAGCCACCCAGGCACCTCTGTACAACCTTTTCTTAAAAGAATTTGAAAAAGCTACCAAAAATCTTAGCGTTTTACATAGCTTTTGATCTCTGCAATTCCCTTTAAGGCAATTAATCTGATGTTAATAATCAGAAATGTTTAGAAAATACACACATACACACCCATACCCACACATACATATATGAAGTTGTCCATTGCTAGACTGTTGTTTTTTTTTTAAAGATTTTATTTATTAGAGAGAGAGAGTAAGAGGGCATAAGCTGGGGGAGGGGCAGAGGGAGAAGCAGGCTCCCAGCTGAGGAGGGAGCCTGATGCAGGACTTGATCCCAGGACCCCGGGATCATGACCTAGGCCGAAGGCAGCCGCTTAACCAACTGAGCCACCGAGGTGCCCTGCCAGACTGTTTTTAAATATAAATAATTATCAAAAATGAGTTGATTACATATATTTTTATGGGAAGGAGTATATTAGAACACTTAAAATGAGGAAATCTGCAGTCTGTCAGTCCAGAGTCCTAATACTGTCTGTCCAACGTGCTAAGTGGGTGAGTGAC